CTTGTGATAAATAAATAATTGGAATTTGATTAAATGCTTTAAAGATTCAAATGTATCATCTGAAGGTGAACCTGAACGGTTGATATAAATTAACACATGTGAATAGGGGGAAGTGTTAGCAATAATGATAATTTGTTTTAATATCGTTAATGTTTTACCTTTATTCTGTTTACCAATTGCTGCAGTGATTGAATTTAAGTAACATTCAGAATATGGAATTTTCATTAATTTTTCCTTAGATAGAGCATTTCTATTATCACTCAATGCTTCATTAATCATATCATCTACGTATGTATTATATACTCCCGCTAATTCTTCATAAGGGGTGGATGAATTTAAATCCATTTAATCAAAAATAAATTTATAATTTTAAACATTTCTATTCATCAATATTTCATCATATGAACTTCTATACTGTGGTGGTGTACCTGTTGGATGATATTTCAAACCTTCGTCCGGTGTCCATGTCCAATATGTAGTCCTAGTAAACCAAACCTGAGGAGGATTTGTCACCTTTGAACAGTAAGTGTCATTTTCACCCTGAATGATTGGATAAGCTTTCACTTGTACTGTAACTTGTGAGTTGAAAGTTTCTAATCCATCAAAGAATATACCCGCTCCATCACGTTGAACTGGAATAGTGCATAAGAATGAAGTTTGGTCTTTCCATGTTCTAGCTAATGGCGTGCCATCATCTGCATTCAGTGGTCTAGTTAATGAGTCCTCGTATTCTTCTGTGCATTCATTCACTCCATCTAAATCAGAAGCTTGAAGCATATGTGTAAAGAATATGTCACCCACTGTTGTCATCGCTTGATCGGGGAAGTTTCTGGAATCTATAGTGACCTGAAGACCTCGAAGCATTGGATTTTCTAAAACCGTTCTTTGCATTGCATTCTTCGGAAATGTTAACACAACATCTGTAACATTATGAAGAGCGTATGAGAAATCTGAGCTAATACCTTCAGGAGTGATGCAACCTCCATTTAGTGAACGAACGTCAATATGTTGAGCTGGAATCATGAATGGATCTTCCTTACTAAATAAACGTGGTATTGCTTTAACTGATTCTTCAATTAAACCGTATCCTGGTGTAATGCATTTATCCTCTAAAACTTCCATCTTTGTGCATGAAATAATAACGTCATCAACTGTTGCCTCAGCAGATGTAGCGGCAAAGCTTGTAATTAATTTGGTAGGAAGTCCGATTTGTTGGAATTTGCGATCATATTTATAAACATGATTCATAATCTTTTCATAATTTTCATCAGTTATCTTTTCATAAACGTAATTTTGTAAATCAGCAACTCTTAACGGGTCAACCTGACAAAATACTAAAGTATCCCTGAAAACATAATATTTAAGAATGATATCACCAAATGATTTAGGATAATCATCGAACGCCTGAAATGCTAACAAATCATTTACCGGAATAATCATATCAAAAGTGATATCAACTTCTTCATTTGCGTTCTTGAAAACTTCTGAAGGGTCAATATATTTACCACATACTGAGTTATCATATTTTTGAACATTATTATATAACGAATGAACAAACTTTTTAACTTTCCTTTCTGATTTTGGTTTATATGTTGCAAATGCAAAAGATTCGCGGGCGCAATCCATCTGAAGATAACCGGCATCACCTCTTTCGGTTTCTACTTCTAATTGTTTAAAGCTTTGATTTGATGATTTGTAACCAACGAATAAACGCATGCATTTAAAAGCGGCATCACATGTGAAAGCTTTATTTGAAACTAGAGTTGCTTTAACTTTGCGTTTAATATATGTGTCACCTAATTGGTTCACATCATGAGCCGGATTTGTAATTCTTAAATGAGTTTGTTTATCATCAAAATATGGAGCATCAGAGTCATAGCATGAACTTTCAAGTTCTCTATAATATCTTCTACCGTCATTCTTCGCGAATATTTCATTTATCTTTTCGAATGAATGAAACACATTTCCATTAATCGGTTTAGTGTTTGGCACCAAATAGTTAGTCGTCATTTATTAATAAATAAAAAATCAAAATTAAAAGATGAAAATGAATTTTTAATTTTAATGAAATAATCAACTATGGCTGCAGGTATATTTAAGAAACTGTAGGATAAAGTAAAAAGAGGAGCGAGTAAAGTTTGGGAAACATTGAAGAAGGGAGCAAATTGGATATTTAAGAATAAAGAAGCAATTAGTGACGTTGCTGAATCAATAACACCAAATGCTGCCCCAATAAGAGAAGTTTTAAATAAAGGAGAAAAAGTTTATCAAAGACTACAACCGATACTAAGATAAAAATAATTTTAAAATAATTTATTTTTCCACTATCTACCTCCTATTTTATTAAGTATTCCTTCAGCTATTCCACCAATCGCGTTACCTGCTTGTGCTCCCATCGCCGGATTACCTGCTTTAGTACCTAATACTCCACCTATGATAGTTCCTGCCGTTTTCGCTACTGGTGCCAAAAAGTTTGCAATGGGTTTAATAATCTTTTTATGAACCCAACCCGCAGCTTTCTTAATTCCATCCCATAATTTTTTAAAGAATCCTGCCGCCATTTCTGATTTAATATTAATTAAAAAAATATATTTCATCACTTATATTCTAATTTTTATTTAATGATAAATGAAACCGATTTTAAAAATAAATGAAACAGAGGAGGAAGAAATAAATGAAAGTGAAAATGTTCAACAAAAAATAAACGTTGTTAAACCAATTACTGAAATAAAAATTTTTTCATCTGTTGAAGAATTTAATGACTATTATGCTAATAATAAAAAATTATTTGAAGAATTGACAACATGTAAATTGAATAAAATGTTTAAAGTTGATGGATTCAAAATTTCAAAAATAAAGGGGGTGGTTAGTTTGAAATCTATTCCTCAATCAAGAATCACCTCATTAATGAAAATAGATGATTTAACAAAAAGAATAGAAGAGATTGAAGAAAGAATGAATCAAATAATTGATTTCATAAATTCAAATAATCATTAGTTTCTTAAAGTTCAATGTTGAACTCATCAAATTCTTCTTCATCATTACCATTACCTTTAGCGAGTTTATTTACTCTTTCAACTCTATCTTTTGATAGTCTTGCGTTTAATTTTTTCTGAAGTTTTTCGTTACCAAGTTCTAAAATTTTACATGGATGATATTTAAACCCGTTAAATTCTTTTTCCTCAGTTTTAATCATTAATCTACAAAGAACTTTAGTGAGGTGGTTTTGTTGTTTAAACCATTTATCCTTAATATTTGTTATAAATTCAATATCCGGAATTAATTCCCAAATTTTTGAATTTTCGATTAATTTACCATCAAATGCAAAAGCAATAGGTTTAATATTAAACTTACCTTTATAAAATAAACTTTGTATGTAATCATCAAAATAAACGTCTACTTGTTTAACCTGGGTGAGAATTGGTGAAAGTTTATTCATTAATTGATTTACAGTCACGAATTTTGATTCACTCATTTCTTACGAATTAAGGGTGGCTTCCGACCAAATTGTCACTTTTTAGCCCAAGTGAGAAAATTTCGTAATTTATAACCAAGTTTTTAAAAATCTATATTTAATAAAGATTCTATTTTTCTTATTAAATTTCAAAAATGAGGGGGTTCGGAATCGTCCACAAATTGCCGAAAGGGTTTTTGCCAGTTTTGAATCCGCTTATTTTTATCGACCAAAATTATAATAAATATAATTTTTCGATAAGTATTCTACCCAAATGATTCTTCAAAAAATTATTTTTCGGATTTTATTCCGTAAAAAAACGTTACAGAAAACGCCTAGAAAATTTCGAATTTTCCCTAAAAAATTCAATGCAGGTCGATTTAAGAGATTTTTCAAAAATAATCATATCAGTAGATAGGGTATAATATAGAGGAGCTTTATGAATAACTCAAAATCCGGGAAACTCAATATTCAACGAGAAAAACGCTTAACGAATCTCACTTTTGGTGTAAACATCACAAAAAATTGAGAGAGCTTTCTGGTCGGAAGCCTCCCTTAAAAAAATAAAATATTCAAAAATGTAAGACATGAATTTTTAAAGTTTATTTTTTAAAAATTATTTTATTTCATTATGGTAGTGAATCTTTCATTCATGAAAATAATATTTCTAATTTCTTTTATTCTCTCGTACATACTAGATTTGAAGAATTCGGAACTTTTACCATAATCTCCTAAATGTTTTCTTATCCCTAACGTGTGCCAGTTATTATATGAAACTGAATAAACTTTATCTTTATCTTTACACCTTTTATCACTTCCAATATATTTATATCTCAGTTTTGATTTAGCATTTTCATATTTATTAGCGTTTAATAATTCACAGTCTTCCTTTTTAAATTGATGTTTAAGATATTCAGGATTTAATACTCTACGTTTATATGCTCCTAACTTAGTTCTAAAGGTTTTTCTACAAAATTTAGGAATTCCATCCTCGTTAATGTCATCAATGATTTCCATTTCATTATTTTCAATTTCTTCTTCTCGTTTATGAGGTCTTTGATTATGACTCCATTGATTCCATGAAATTAAATATTCTTTATCATTATATTTATACCTCATTAGCTTATTTTGGCTTTCATATTCATTTAATAATTCACAATCTTCATTTTTAAATTGAAGTTTAACCCATTCAGGATTTAAACAATGTTTAATTAATCGCGGAATATCTGACATCATCTATATATAACTTCTTTTATAAAAGATAAAAAAATAAATTATTTTAAAATTAATGTTAATTTTTTAATGATTTATAAATAAATATATTTTAAAATGTGTTTAGTATATAATATTTATTACTAATTTATTTAATAATGTCGCGCTTTCTTACGAATTCATGACTTAAAAAACGTAAGAAAAAATTTTTATATCATCTATATATAGAAGATGTGAAAATATACCTTCATCTATATATAGACGTAACAAAAAAAGTCACACAACCCTTCCACATATACTACTATAAAAGAAATATATTTATAAACCATAAACTTTAGTATTTAATCATAAAGTGAGTAGTTTCACCAGATGTGAATTTCTTATTTACTTTGTATTCAACAGGGTTATCTTCTTCACCTTCCTTGAAGACATTTGTTATGTCTATATTCGAATACAAACACTCTGCATTGAAGAAAATCTCTATGTCAAAGAAATCTGCAACAGTTTGCATTGCAGCGATTTCCAAAGTGAAAGAATCCTCTTCACTGATATCAGGCGTAGTCCAAACAACTTCATTACCCTCAACTTCGTATTCTCCGCTGTCTTGGTCGAGAGTTATCGTTGCAGATGACGGATCAAGAACTTTTATACGGATCTTGACTTGTCCGACGTTTTGTGTAGAATCACTATTCTTCGAAACCTGTAATTGTAGTGTCGCTTTGCTCTTAGATGACTGTGGATCTGTTGGCCAAACTAAAAGTTCGATTGGAAGGTTTTCTTTCCTGCAGTTAGTGTTTATATACTTCACAATTTCTGTTCTTTGCGAAGATGGCTTTGTATTATCGAAGGAAAGTTGTTTCGTATTCTTGACCGGATTCTTGTAAGCTGTGAAGCTGTTATCCCAGTTAACTTGGATAGTGTACTTGCCTGCATTCCTGCCAAGACCATAAAGGTAGCCGTAGCAGGTGAATTTGCCATCACTTTCGTAATTAAGGCTTCCGCTGAAGGATTCTTCAAATTCAAATAGTAAACCTTCCGTAATAAGTGGCGTAGGTGCTGAAACAGGAGCATCGGCCTTGCTTGACGTTGGATGCAATCCTTCTTCAAGAATAACCTGTTTAGCTTTCTCTCGTGCGGATCTCGACTTGCCAAGAGTCATGCCCTTGACATTAGAAGCTTGTTTGCGTGGTACGTTCGGTATTGAGCTAGATTTCGTAGGTTCATCTTCTACGTCGATTTCTGGCTCGTATGACGTAAATTGAGTGAAGGAAACTGACTGAGAAGCAGCCTCTGAAGGTGTATAGCTGACAGAACTTGCAGAACTGTATGTTTTGCTTTTCTTTTGTTTATCGAGAATCTTTTGAGTTTCAGCGGCAAATTTCTTAGCCTCATCTTCCTTCTTTTGCAATTCTTCGAGGTATTGAAGTTCTTCTTTGGAGTCCATAAGAAGAAATTCAGAAACGTCATTAACTGAAACTGTCTGGCGATATCCATCGAAAATAACTTCATCATATGCAAAAATCAAATCCAAGTTATGACTTAAAACTGTTGTTTCATCGATTGTTGGTATAATTGTTCTTGTTAAATCAATAAGCATAGAAAGAAGCTCAAGATCTTCAAGAATATTCGAATCTTTTGTTGTAATTAATATGAAGTATAATTTGTCGAGATTTTGATAGACATAGCGAATATTTTGTGATTCAACATACGATTGACTTGTTTTTGTGAGCAGTTTTGGAAAAACACCAAGCTGGTTCAAGATCTGTGCTTTTGAGACCTTAGAAAACTGACGAGCAACAAGAGGCTTGCCGTTTTGATTGATAATTGCAACTGAAAGAATCATTTATAAAAAAAAATTATCTGACGGTTTGATCTCACTGATTTTGATTTTAGAAATAAGAGGCCAATATTAATACCATAAATTAAGCATCATTTTACATATTCATTCCTATAAATTTCATAGTGTTATTCCATCCTTTATCAGAAATTTCAATATTAAAACTTTGATATGCATGTATTTATCAGGAACAATACCACATCATTCACACATTAATACCCTGGATCCTTACTATTCAATATTAATCCACCTGAATCCAGAAATAGATCTTGTGTATTTCTATATCTGATAAGAAATGTACTTAATGATATGAAATACTAACGCATGATCTATACATTTACATATGCTTTTATATTTTCAAAATTATAAATTGATTTGAATTGCACAAAATAAGATGAATCCATGGCTCTGCACCATGCACACAAAATAGGATATGTTTCATTAGATTTCATTATGACTAATAAAAAATTATTTTGATATTTTTTTGTTGTAACAACATTCAAATACTGCTTTTGCTCGTATTCTAGAAAAATGTGTATATATTAGAAATAGAAGTATTAAATTTTATTCGTAGGGAATACCTAATTTACCAAAGTGGCGAACAAGGACTTCGTTAGGTAAAGCATACGCTGGATCAACTTCTGGAACATCCTTCCAGCCGAAAAGAGATAAACCAGCACATCCAATGAAAGTATGGAATGGATCGGGGATATTGCTTGGTCTATCAGCAATACCGCCTGTTTCTGGATCTTGAGCACTTAATACAAACTTACGAAGCTTCTCATATTCAACCCAATGAGTTTTTCCTAAGATTTTGAGTGGAGATCCAACCCACCATGTATAGCAAACATCTGGTAATTTTTCTGGACGACCATTGAAACCTCCTGATGGATCTTGACGCTCTGAAAGCCAAAATCCGAGGGCTTCTGTATCAATTTGGTCAAGAGCGTTAGCAATCTTAAGAGCTCCAACGGCTGTAAAGACTTGACCAGCATGTGACTCACAGCCTTCCATAAGACCGAAGCCACCATCGAAATTCTGGCATTTCTTGAGCCAATCAACGGCAGATTGCAAGTTTATGGCATCCAAACGGCCCATTAATGATAATGCAGCAATAGCACAGTATGAAAAACGAGTATCTGTTTCTCCCCATTCATCACCAGCGAATGAACCATCTGGTTGCTGAAGGGAAGCAATCCATTGAACTAACTTATCGTGATCAAATCTATTGTAAGCATCAAGCATGATCAAAGCTTGAATAGCAGAAAGAGTTTGATGAATATGTGGGTCATGTCCGGTATTTCCTGCAAAGCCACCATTTGGTGCTTGGCAAGAAAGAATATAGCTAATTGCTTCTTCTTTGTCGATTCTATCTAAGCCTCCCATTAAATAGAGAGCACCAATTCCCCAATAAAAATTATTTGTACGAATTGCAATTGTCATCCAGTATTCGTATATTTCTTTATTTTTCATAAGAGCGATAATGAACCTAATATGCTTCTCACGCAGTAATTCAGTCGGGTAATTTTTTGTTTCTTCACTCGACATTTTTTGAAAAAAGTGACTAAATGAAAAAATTGACACCAAACAAAATCCAAAATCATGTTTAAATACCAAAAATAGTTTGGAATTCCCAAATGAAAGAATTCTAAAAATCAATGAGTCCTAGACTTAATTGTTTTTAAATAGTTGATGTATATTTTGGTTAGTATCGCTCAGCTGTAGAAACATTAGATGTATTATATTGTGCAGTGTTAAAGGATGCTAGAGATAGAGAAATGTATAACATATTTTCAGAAAATTTTTATGAATATTTATATCAAACAACTAATATATTTAATAAACAAAACAAAACAATAAATGTTCTACAAAACAGAGATATTATCAGCTTCAGGAGTTTGTTGTTGCTGATTGAATTCCATTTCATGGGCAGCAACAGTTCTTTTGCCCCAAATAAAACAACGGTTATTGTCTAAAATGAAGTGGTCACATAATTCTCCTGTTGTTATGAATCCTTTTCCATTTTCTGTGGCTACACATTTAATCATTTGTGTACTGCAAGTAGGAGCTGGCGTCCATATAGTAAAATCACCTAAGTCTTGTAAAATAACAGTTGCTGTGACTCCTAATTTCGAAACTATTCGTTCAATCGTATTTTTCATTTGATAAAAGATTTTCTTCTTAGCAAATGAGGCAGAATCTATCCAGAATGACGAATTAAGACTATCTATGACTACTGCTACTATATTATTGTCGTCATGGTCAATATAAAATTCGACTTTCTGTAATGCGAACAAAATATCTTCACTTGACTTACAAGCTATGTATTTAAGTAGTTGCAAGTCAATTTCCCTATGCTTTATTAAATGTTTTGGAAATTTTAGATCACAATCTATCCAAAGTGCGTTTTTTTGTGGATTATATTCGATTAACTTCTTTAAAATATCAACTGCTAATGTAGTCTTATATGATTGCGGCTTTCCTGTTATGATAAAAAGATCTGCTGTTGAAATTGCTGACTCACTTCGAAAATCATCAATCAAAGGTATTTCATACTTGATTTCGGACTGATTCTCAGAGATTAAATCAGCAAGTGTAGCATCAAATTCGGTCCTTGTCATGAAAAACAGAAGAGTGAAGTACGAAAACCGTTTGACAACTTCCCCTTTCTATTTCAGGGGGTATGAATTTCATTCAAAATATTCCCCCAATGAAATTTATCTAAGTAAATTTCTTATATTTAGGCATTTAATTTACTTTGAGCTTATAACATGTATCATAAATTAGAAGAATGAAAATGAAAATCAAGCAAAATCAATATTTTTAAAGAGAATTTGATGAAATTTGCATTTCATCATTGAATAAACATGCTTAAACATTGTATATAGAGCTGGTTCAGGTGTTCCCCTGTCATTCAATAGGTTTTTTCATATAATAAAGGTTAAAAATGATAAAGATTAACTCTACCTAGATAAATACATTTTATTACATAGGATAAGGTAATGTACCTAAAGATTGTGCTCGTGTCATGTATGAACTTACTCTATTAGATAATCCGTTTTTTAGTTGTTGAACAGTAATTTCTGTAGCCTCAAAGGACGCAAAAGGTTTGAATACCATAGGCGTCCGCTTTGACTTCGGCGTCGAAGGTCTAATGGTAGTATTTATAGGAGGCTGTGGTATTTGAGGAGTCTGTTGAATAATTGGCTCTTCAGGCGGTTCAAGGAAGCCTTTAGATGGCATATCGTAATCTGGTTGGAATGTAAGCTTCGAAAATTCTAATTCATTCTGTAAATCGTTCGATCTGAATGTCATATCAAAACCAATGCTAAAGTCTAAGTCAGGGTTGGTTCTATCTGCAACTGGAGAAGAGTTAAATGCAAAACCATCTAAAAGACTGTTTTTGTTCATCCTTTTTTCTCCACTAACAAAGATTTATCAATTTTTTCAGAAAATTTTAGCGGTTGCGCGCCAAAATGCATGATTTTATAAAGGGCTAATTTTCATGAATTCGTATATTATTATTGATAAAAATGAATTTGCCCTAATAGATTGCGGAAAATATTTTTACTAATTTTCCCGGGCTTTTGAGATCTCATTAATTTTTTCTCAATATTCAAGGAATCTAATGAACGATAACAACAGCTCAATATTTTATATTCATTTGTGAAATTTTCTGGACAGATGAGACAAAATCTCATCGTTTTTTACAATTTCATTGATTGAGCTTACCATATAAATTAACGATGGCATACATGATAAAACTTTAGACAAACATAGGATGCGATGAATAAAATTTTATCGAAGAATAAAAAATTAGTAAAAATATTTTGTTTCATAGAAAAATTATTTTAAACAAACAAAAATCGAAGAACTAAATGATCAAAAGGACCTTTAGTTCTTAAATTATAATTTCAAAATTTTTCAAATTCAGAATCAAATCAGAATATGAAAAATATAGAATATATTTCTAATATGTAATGCAATTTCTAATAATTTGGACCTTTTTTGAATAATATTATTTCGACATTTTTTCGAAAGCTTTTTTATCAGCAATACTTTCCCCAGCAGCCTTTTCATCATCTTTGGTTCGAGTTCTCTTCGTTAAGTATTGGATTGCTTCGAATCTGACCTCAGGAGTCAAAGTTGTTTCTTCAATTTGTTCTCTTCGAACTTTTGCTTCACTGTTGACTAATATGTGGTCGACGAATTGGTCAAGAGCTTTCCTTCCTCGAACAGGAGGAGCTGAGAAAGAAGAATTTTTCTTTTGGTTATTACTTTCCTGTAAACTTGTCAATTCAAGAGTAATTGCAGGGTCTTCATGATAAATTCCATGTCTTTGATTGTCATTCATCTGGTCTATGAAAATATTCATGTTCTTTTGATTGGAATTGAGGACTGCTTCTTTCTTTGTTTTGATATTCATTTGCTCTATTTGGGAATGCCTTGCAAGCTTAGCCTGCTTGATTGCTATATCATGTAGAACATCCCTAAGGTTAGAAGCTACGTCTCTGTTTAAAGCTGCCGTGATATAAGATCTTGCGCCACTATTTTCTGTCGTTTTTGCATAATTACTGTCATCATCATAAGGAGGATAAAGAAATGTGATCGTGTGTCCTAATGTTGACGTAGATCTCGTTGAAGTCATCGCATGAGATGTTCCATGCAAAGATAATCTAGAACGAATATGACTAGAACGTGGAGCGTACTCATCAAAATGTTGCGTATCTTCTTTCGGTAATAAAACATGCTCTTCTTCCTCTTCGTGAGGCGGATCAGGATGTTTCACGTCGTCTTCGCCGAATAATCGATTCATAAGATTTTCAACAAAACTGCGTAGTGGTTTTATTGTCATAAATATATAAACAACACGTAATGTAATATCTGCCCGCGCTGGAATTAAAATTAATTTATTTTGTCTATTAAATTGCTTGTTTTCCTCTTGAATTGCCTCATTTATATGAGAGTATACAAAGAGAACTGTATGAGATAAACAATATGGTAAAAGTTCCATAAATTTATCAAAAAATATATGAGATCTGGTAGATTCATAAATAAAATTGTATACACTTTTCCAAATATCGAGATTCTTAATTGTAAAATTAAATGTATCCTGTCCAAAACAAAATGAATGAACATCATTGAATAAAATTGGAATTAGAGGTTCAAGCTTCTTTTGATATTTCTCAAGCATGATTCTAATATTCACTTCTACTTTATTTGTCGAGCTCAGAGTAATTCTATATAACGTATCATCATATGCTTGATGTGAAACTTCTGGAGTAATATAATCTTGTAGTGAAGCAGCAGTTGGAACTTCTGTAAGTGCAAAAACATCTTCAATTGGCTTATCTTTTATACTTTCTTCATCTTCATCCATAAAAATTTTTTTCATTTCGTTTTCAATGAATTTCATCGGCGCTGCATGCCGATAAAATAAAGTAAGAGTTTGTATAACCTCAAATAGTTTAGTGTCTTATTTTGTTTTGGGATACGTTTCCCAGCGGTTATTAACCAGAATCGGCCAGCTTACATATTCGTAATATTGGCAAATCTCATTTATTTTCAGAAAGAAGAATTGTCACTTTTTCAAAATGTTTTGTTTCATACTTTTTATTCCTGTGCATTCTAGAAAATGTGATGATGTAGATACATTGGTTATCGGAGAAGGTGTCACTGAAATTGAAGACGAAAAATACGAACATTGTGAAAATTATAATGAAATTGTTTTCCCATCAACTCTCCGTGTCATTGGAAATCAATCATTTGCATACTGCGTTAATCTCTTACATCTCAACTTTTCATCAAACTTAGAACGAATCGAAACACAAAGTTTTATTGGTTGTTTAAATCTCACAACAATTATATTTCCTAATTCACTCAAATTTATTGGTGAAGGTGCATTCATAAATTGTTCAAGTCTTACTACACTTTCATTTCCTGCTAATTTGGAACGTCTTGAAGACGAAAGTTTTCAATTTTGCACTCAATTAACTGAAGTTACATTCGACAGCAATAATATAGGGTGTCCAAAGGTGTGTTTAGCACAAACCTGAATACTGCGAATAGAAATAAACAAGTTACATATATATAAAGTTTATTTAAATATAATCACCATTGGATTCAATCACGCGTTCGCAGCGATCGATCCAGGCTTGAAAGACACGCTTTAAATCATCATGAGAAAATTGCTCAAATTGCTCTCTTACAAAATTTTCAAGATCATCTGGACTCGCGAATTCGCGTCCTTCAGCTCTCTTTTTTAGCGTGCCGAATAAATAAAAGTCAGAGGGTGCAATATCAGGTGAATAAATTGAGTTTGGAACAACTTTGACATTGTTTTCCACCAAGTAATTCATTACCTTATGACTTTTGTGAACTCTTGAATTATCAAAATGAATTGCAAACTTTTGTTTTTGTTGTTTGGATTTCTCAAACTCATCAGAATTGATAATTTGAGTAAGAACATTGTCAATTAGATACTGAGCATTCATCGTATTAGGTTTTTGAAGAATATCAATTGCGATGATGCCATTCACGCCCCAAAAAACCGACAACATCATCATTGGTGTGTCAATTTTTTCTTCGGGAATGTTTGCGGATTTTCATCCTTCGGGATCCACATGATTTTGGCTTCTGTTGCATATTGAAACCAAGACTCGTCCCCTGTTACTAAAAAGCGAAACTTCTTGGATTGATACGCACCCAATATAGAGAGGAGCTCTTTCGAAGATTGGACTCTAGATTTTTTTTGAACTGAATTAAGGTTGTGCGGAACCCAACGTGTATACGCTAGTTTGTAGTTCAAATAATTGTGCAGATAATAACTGACTGTTGTACGTGGTATCTTTGTCATCTCCTCTATCCTTCTGAGTGATGCTCTTGGGTCTTCATCTAGCGCTTGAAGAATTGCTTTAATTTTTCTTTGATCCGGCGATTTTTTGTCAATTTTTATGATGGGCGCCTTTTTGTTCATGAAGTGATACATCCTAACATGATACGTTACAGTGGAATAGCTAGGAGCATCCATACCGAAGCATTTTACCAATGTCTCGTAGATTTTTTTACAGTCTTTGCATTTTTTTGCAAGAGCGAGGATGTTTTCTTTATGATTCATTAAAAAAATGAAAAAAATCCCGCCAAAATTTCCCGCGAAACCGCCTCTTGTCTCAAAATTCATTTTATATCCCGGCATGGCGCCAAAATACAACATACTCATCATATACATATATTCATATTTTTTATTATATATTTATAATCAGCATATATCTCCTTTAATAGTCTCATATAGAGCGCTGTGCTAAACGCACCTTTGGACACCCTATACTTACATTGGTCAAGCCTCGTTCTTTAATTGCGTCAATCTTCAAAACATTACATTACCATCATCTATAAAGATTATTAAACAAAAAACATTTTTTAATTGCATAAATCTCACTAATATTATCAATATAAAATTTGTTGAAATCATTGAAGATTATGCATTCTACAACTGTTCCAAATATGAAATATTTAATTTCCAAAACATTGTTGAAATCAGAGCATATTCATTCTGCTACTCAGGTGTTAAAGTACTCAGTCATCAAATGACTAAATTTGATACAAAATTGAAGTTTGTTGGTGAATACGCATTTTCAAACTGCTCCAATTTAATGGAAGTCGATTTTGGCGAATTCAATATAAGTTTGTCAAAAGGAGTTTTTGCCTCATGCCGCTCACTAAAAACTATAGCAGCACCAAATTTGTTAAGTGTAATTCCTGAATCTTTCGCGTATCTTTGCACTTCCTTAGAAGCAATATTATTATATCCATATTTGATTGAAATATCTGATAATTCGTTTAGCGATTGCATATCTTTAATTTCTGTTGGAGGTGATTATTCATCGCTAGAAAAAATAGGAAATAATGCTTTCTATCAGTGCAAAGCTCTGACCACATTTAACTTCCCAAAAACTAAAATAAAAGAAATCAATGACTGGGCTTTTACCGGATGTACATTTGCTTTAGTTGTTTTCCCAAATACTCTTACTTATATTGGCATTGGCGCTTTCAAATTCTGTGATAAATTAGAATTAATAAAATTTTCTAATTCACTTAAAGTAATCAATGAATCAGCTTTTTTCCAATGCATGAGACTAAATGCAATTGGAATGTTTAATTCATTAGAAATAGTTGAGAAACAAGCATTTTATTATTGCGGTATAAACGAAATTGTCTTACCAGAAAATCTTCGATTTATTGGATGGAAAGCTTTTTATTCTTGCAAAAATATAAAGAAAATCGTTATCTACATGAGAATTGAAGCTACAATAGCTGAAGATGCCTTCAATAATCTCGATAATGTTACAGAACTAGTTTTTAATTCAAATAATTATCAAATATTAAATTATTTGAACGATTCAAAAATTAATAAAATAACATTTAATTCTTCGCTTATATCTGAAGTTCCATCTCTCAACACCTTCGTCGATTTGAATGAATTGAACATATTAAATCAAGATAATTTTATTTCACTTCCAAATAACTTTGTTCGAAGTAACAATCTTTCTATTTATATCTATCCTAATATCAAATCTATCTCACAAAATTCATTCGTTGATTCACATATCTCTAAAATAGTTTATTGTGGGAACGACACAGTTGATGGAGATTTTCTTAAAAATGCCTTATCATGTGATTCAGTTGAGTGTTCATCTCAATACAATAAAAGGCTTTTTGGCGGAATGAAATTCAAAGTGAATACCGATCTTTGCGAAATTTACCCTAAGGATAACAAAAAACTTATAATAATATTATGTACTACCATTCCAATTGCTGTTATCATTGTAATAGCAATCCCCGCTTTAATATGTGCATATAAGATTCGGCGCAACCAGGAATATCTCAAAAATAAAATGGTAATTGCAAAACTAGTTGTTGATGATTTCGGATAATATAGGGTGTCCAAAGGTGCGTTTAGCACAGCGCTCTATATGAGACTATTAAAGGAGATATATGCTGATTATAAATATATAATAAAAAATATGAATATATGTATATGATGAGTATGTTGTATTTTGGCGCCATGCTGGGATATAAAATGAATTTTGAGACAAGAGGCGGTTTCGCGGAAAATTTTGGCGGGATTTTTTTCATTTTTTTAATGAATCATAAAGAAAACATCCTCGCTCTTGCAAAAAAATGCAAAGACTGTAAAAAAATCTACGAGACATTGGTAAAATGCTTCGGTATGGATGCTCCTAGCCATTCCACTGTAACGTATCATGTTAGGATGTATCACTTCATGAACAAAAAGGCGCCCATCATAAAAATTGACAAAAAATCGCCGGATCAAAGAAAAATTAAAGCAATTCTTCAAGCGCTAGATGAAGACCCAAGAGCATCACTCAGAAGGATAGAGGAGATGACAAAGATACCACGTACAACAGTCAGTTATTATCTGCACAATTATTTGAACTACAAACTAGCGTATACACGTTGGGTTCCGCACAACCTTAATTCAGTTCAAAAAAAATCTAGAGTCCAATCTTCGAAAGAGCTCCTCTCTATATTGGGTGCGTATCAATCCAAGAAGTTTCGCTTTTTAGTAACAGGGGACGAGTCTTGGTTTCAATATGCAACAGAAGCCAAAATCATGTGGATCCCGAAGGATGAAAATCCGCAAACATTCCCGAAGAAAAAAATTGACACACCAATGATGATGTTGTCGGTTTTTTGGGGCGTGAATGGCATCATCGCAATTGATATTCTTCAAAAACCTAATACGATGAATGCTCAGTATCTAATTGACAATGTTCTTACTCAAATTATCAATTCTGATGAGTTTGAGAAATCCAAACAACAAAAACAAAAGTTTGCAATTCATTTTGATAATTCAAGAGTTCACAAAAGTCATAAGGTAATGAATTACTTGGTGGAAAACAATGTCAAAGTTGTTCCAAACTCAATTTATTCACCTGATATTGCACCCTCTGACTTTTATTTATTCGGCACGCTAAAAAAGAGAGCTGAAGGACGCGAATTCGCGAGTCCAGATGATCTTGAAAATTTTGTAAGAGAGCAATTTGAGCAATTTTCTCATGATGATTTAAAGCGTGTCTTTCAAGCCTGGATCGATCGCTGCGAACGCGTGATTGAATCCAATGGTGATTATATTTAAATAAACTTTATATATATGTAACTTGTTTATTTCTATTCGCAGTATTCAGGTTTGTGCTAAACACACCTAGTTAGTATCCCTAAGTCGTGTACTGTGGCACTGCGCGCCTCCGTACACCACTTAGCGGTTTTGACACTTTACGAAACCAGTAACGTATATTTTACAACACAACCATAACACCAACTTAACCTTAAATATTTACAAAACCATCTGACACATAAACGACTTCACTAACGAATTCACTACCGTCCTCACTAAATAAAAAATAACCTTATTTTTATTTTTTTTAAATTTTTTATTTCATTACAAAGAAATGTCCGACTACATTTACTATGACTCTTTCCCAGAACGTTTCCGTGAACTATTCAAAACTCAAGTAAAACTGAGAAACATGCATTTTAACAAAGACAGACCCATTGACGATGAAAGAAACCCTGAATATATTACAATCCCTTATGACGCAAAGTTCATTGCATACATTCCTTATGGTCGCAGAGGAACGAAAACTATTTCAACAAAGAACAAAAATTATTTCTGGAGCGATGAAGAAAATTGCCTTATCTACATAAATGCATACTTAAATAAAGCTACATATTGTACAAAAGAAGGTTGGACTGGATTTGAGCTCTACATATACGACGACGATGGAAACAGACGTTGTGTATACCCATACGATAATATGTACCATTGTTTTCATCAAGCATTAAACGAATACATAGTCAGTAAGGGTCTCATTCTGTTGAGTAGATATGCTTATTTTTTGTTCTGTCATTTATTTAAAAATAACTTAAAAATTAATGATATCACCACCCTCACACGTATGAAAACATAGCGCAAAAATAATGTTTATGTTAGAATGTTAGATCTAACACGTTTTCTAACACGTTTTCTAACCTGTTGAATTCATTGCTTTATAACTCTCTTCCTTTCTCCAACTCTTCTAACTTCTTCTTAAGTTCAGCAATGTTGTCCTCATGAAGTTTAATCTTCCTTAATATACCTTCTCTATCTAATGGTTGCTTTATCTTTCTAAACTGAACTCTACCATCCTTCATAGTATGAATGTAAAAACCTTCTGGAATAGTTCCTGATTTAATGTATTCTACCAAAAACTTTTGTTTCATTGCTTCAGTGACTTTAGTCGTCATTCAATCAAATAAAAATTTTAATATTAAATAAAAATAACGTTATTTTTTCAGTAAGGAAACGCAGGAGTTTTACGATTTATTTGAGGAGTAGGTTCTGTTTAAATGTTGGAGTCGGTTTAGGAGTTGACTTTTGAACAGGAGTTTGTACTTCCATAGGTTCAGGAGTTATTGAAGGTTTTGCTTGTGAAGGCGTGGTTTTGGCGAAGGTGTTGGAGTTTGTTTAACTTCAGCTATTTCAGTATTATTTATAACATTTGCTTTATTTCTTTTCAACATCATTACTGCTCCTGCTGTAGCTAGCAAACCTAGTGGGAGACCATATTTTATATAAGGACTTGACCAAATGCTATTTTTGACAGGAGCTGGTGGAACACTAACCTTGGTGAGACTGCTCTTTGCCATTGTGCAGCTCGTAAGAAATATTCAATAGGTGCTCCATAATCGTTTGGTAAAGTTTGTTTCATAGATGGTGAAGGTTCGCGAGAGCTTGATGAAGAACTCATTTATAAGCTTTAAAAATAAATGTTCATCCTTTATTCCTCACTGTCGTCCGTGGCTAAGTTATAGTCATCTAATCTTATTATGGGGATGCCATTAGCACGCACCTGAATGGCAAAGCAACAATCCCTCATAAATCCAATAAGTGGCTTTGGTACGTTTTCAGTTGCTAGTTCAATAGGTCCTTTAACAGACAATTTGTATGTTATTGGAGCAGTAGATGTTTGACCTTGTTGGAAGCAAAAGTCCACTTCTGTTGGAAAACCACATAAGAAATGTGTGTTGTCATAGCTATCCCATTTATGTTCCACACTACCATCATCCACCAATGACCTCAAAAAATCTTCATTAAATCCAATCATATCATTGTTTGTATTGCAAGCGTTCGCAACCATTTCATAAAATACAGGTCCATATGATTTTTCAGGTTCTGCAGGCATATTTCCATAGCTCCCATGGAAAGCTGAAGATATTTAAACTTAGGGTTCTCAAAATTAACATAATAGTTGTCTTTCTTTCTAAATAGTGCCCAAATACTTTTAACATTAATAGGCGTATAAGCTGCTGTAAATGTTGCACTTGAACTATCTGTATTCTTTGAGAATGAACCGTCCATAGGAATCCAATCCATAACTTTAACAGGAAAACATAAAGCCTCGTTGTATAATGTTCTACAAGTTCTGTATAAATGTTAGGGTCTAAAGAGAATGACTTTGGATGAATGAAACATTCATTAAAATCCATCTTTATTCGAAATAGTTGCTGGGTTACAGTTGTAATAGTAACTGTTCCACTAGCTTCTACTGCTTCGTTATCATAGTGAATGTTCATTCCATGGAACAAATTTATTTGTCGGTGGATTTGAATCTGAAGCAAATGCAACTTTAAGAGTTGGATTGAAAGCAATGATATCATTTACAGATATAGATGTGCATTGTAAGGCGTCGCTACTGAACTTTACTTTAAGCTGAATGTTACCAGCAAATGCAGGAATAAATCTTATAGCTTCTAATGGAAGGAATCTTCTAACAGGAATTCTTAAACGAAGCTTAAAATCAAATGATTTTCCTGCTGTAATTGGACCACTAACAATTTGTCCTGTTCTGCATGTTCCCGAATGACTCCATACATCTTCATGTCGAGTCTTTGAGAAAACATCTACTTTCTTTATTTGTTCGGTAGTTTGTGAGTTTGAAGTTATATATGCTTCTTCTCTTGCGTTGTCTTGAGAATATACGATACGACCATTTGCAAGGATTTGATATCAGCAACTGCATAGAAAGCGTCATCGAAACCAATCCAAAATCCTGGTGGGTTTGTTTTATTGAACCTGAACCAATTTCTTTATCTGCAATAAATTGACCTTCCATTTTATACGTAATGAATGTATTGTAAAGGTCCAACATATTTTCACCAGGAGGTGAGAGATTGAATGTTACCATGTGTTATCTTTAGGCAGTTCCAGGTTGTGATGGAATCTTTGCGTCAGAATATTTTCTATTAGTGTCACCAATTTGAACTGCATTGTCTATGATATCGAAATATGAGCGAATCTGATGAATATGCTCTGCTGGAGTAAATTCGTTTAACTGTTCGTTCTGCATGTATTTACTTCGGATAAAAATATCTATTTACTTCATTATTCTCACTCTTCTTCTTGGCATTCGTGGTGGAAGTTGTTTCTTGACATTTTCAATGAACTGTACATTCTCTTTTGTCTCAACTTCTTTCACTGGTGGGTCAGGATTCTTTGACTCGGTTTGTTTTTCAATGAAATTCACGAACTTTGCAATAAGCTCTTGGTTCGTTATTGAAAGACATCTGGCTTCTTTTCTTCTGTTCTATTGACTTTTCAGTTTGAATAGAAGGTTTTATATGGGCTTCACCCTCGGTGCTATGCACCTTAATGTTGTCACTCTCTGCATTCGCTAATGGAACCTTTCTTTTTCTTACGTATATTTTACCATCTTTACTCTGACTTACATAATAGAAAGGATGTTGTATTCCTCTTGCGTCATTTAATATAATAGACTCTCGCTCTGATTTTGACAAGCTCATTTTACATCGGTTAAAGTTTTAATTTTGTTTTTTATCTGCAGTCAAATGACTCAGACAAGTCCTACGGACA